CTGTTACTGGCTAAGGTCTTTGACATATTTAAAATGGACTCTTTTTGGAAAGGAGAGTATATAAGGGCAAAAATAAAATAAAATGCACTTTTCACAATAATCTTAGACGGGAGGCATTATCTACATTTTACGGAGGCAAATGCAGAGATTTAGAAAAATAACTAGCCCAAAGTTCCACAGCTAGTCAGTGGTAGAATTGGGACACAGTTGCTTCTCTACTAGCCTACACAGATAGGTGGAAATTTCCGGAGGAAAGGTGAGGTAAGAGAAGCAATATTTATTGTATGCCCACTATATGCCATGGTTTGTGCCCAGGACTTTAGATTTCTCACTTGATCCTTTGCAGTGGGAATGACCGTCCTCTCCCTTGGAGGTTCAGAGAGATTATCTTCCCTAAAATCGCCCAGCATTTTCACACTGCAAAGCCTGGTCTGTGCTGGTCTGGTTCTTGAACCCATGCATTTTTCATTGCCACATGTTGCCTTCCTGCCAAGGACTTGGCTCTGTTTTGATGTAGATCTATGTCCAAGAAATTTCAATCACTTGTTTCTCCCCAGGGCCAGCTGGAAGAGAATCTTAAAGGAGATAAAAATCAAATTCTTGATGTATTACTTCTTACTCTCTCATATAGCCTTTTGGCACTAAGTGGCTTATTTCAGAGTACTGCCTTGGTCACTTTGTACTTGAGCAAAGACATGAGACTGTTTGGGGGTCTTCATGTGTCAGGCCTTGGCTTCTCTGCCTCTTCACTAGAAGAAATGTTTTGAATGAGGGTCTTTGATTTAAAAAAAAATTTTTTTTTGAGACAGAGTCTCACACTCTCACCTAGGTTGGAGTGCAATGGCACAATCTTGGCTCACTACAACCTCTGCCTCCCAGACTCAAGCCATTCTCCTGCCTCAGCCTCCCATGTAGCTGGGATTACAGGCACCTGCCACCATGCCTGGCTAATTTATATATTTTTAGTATTGATGGGGTTTCACCATGTTGGCCAAGATGGTCTCAAACTCCTGACCTCAAGTGATCCACACTCCTTGGCCTCCCAAAGTGCTGAGATTATAGGTGTGAGCCAGTGCACCCAGCCAATAGCTATTTTTTCAAGAAAGAAATACAAATTTTTCCAATGGGGAAAAAATCAGAATGAACAGATAACTGGAACTACCCTGTTGTTCCAAATAATATTGTTAGTCATTTTGGATAGAAGGATGGTCAGGATCTGAAATCCCTGAACCTTGGACTGGTAGATAAGTTATACCACAAGCTGTAAAGGAGCCTGAAATCCCTGAACCTTGGACTGGTAGATAAGTTATACCACAAGCTGTAAAGGAGCTGTCAGTGAGGGGGTTGCTAAGAGAACAACTGAATTTTAATTATAGTTATCTAACCACTGCTTCTGCAACAAAAAGCTAAGGGAGGCAGGGACTGGTCTCATTCCTCAGGGGTCAAGGGACAGAATGTTTTCATATGATGGATTAAATTTCTGTAATTTAAAAAATGTTCTCCACTTTGAAAAGAAAGACTGCCTGAAATTTGAGGTCATTTTCTATTGGGGCCAATGTGGTAGTTAATGTCTCCTCCTGTGAAAGAGCAATATGTTCTTCAGAAATCATGTTGAGTTAGAGGCTGGAGTCCTGGGGAAGAGATGGCCAGAGATCAGCTCAGTGAAAAGCTGCAGGCCCTGCCTATAAATAGCTCAGCAGATGACATCAGACAAGCCTTGTCACCAAGCTAGCCCTTGTTCTTTAAAAATCTAGCTCCTGGGGGCCAGGTGCAGTGGCTCACGCCTGTAATCCCAGCACTTTGGGAGGCCAATGAGGATGAAATCACCTGAGGTCAGGAGTTGGAGACTAGCCTGGCCAACATGGTGAAACCCTATCGCTACTAAAAATACAAAAATTAGCTGGGTGTTGTGGTGGGCACCTGTAATCCTAGCTATTCAGAAGGCCAAGGCATGGGAATCGCTTGTACCTGGGAGGTGGAGGTTGCAGTGAGCCAAGACCGTGCCACTGCATTCCAGCCTGAGTGATAAGAGTGAAACTCTGTCTAAAAAAAAAACCTAGCTCTTGGATAAACAGTTATATTCAGTCCTTATCAGTGTTGGGAGATAATTACATTGAAGGTGGGGATGTAGGGAAGATAGGTTATGCCTCAAGAGACCCAAGATGGGGATTTTGTAATTTTGGAGAGAAGGTGGGGAAAATGCTGTTAAGAACAGAACACAGGTTACATGGAAGGTTTGAGAGTAAACAGACAATTACGCTTTCGTATAACAGTATATGCATGCTTGCAAAGGGGCTAGGCACGTAAAATTCATGTTAAGGCATATGGTAGACGTTCAATGGCTTGCTAGCAATGAGGTGGACTTCCATCATGGAGAAGGCTGGGTGAAAACTTTTTGTTTTGTCTTGTTTTTTTGAGACAGAGTTTCACTCTTGCTGCCCAGGCTAGAGTGCAGTGGCATGATCCCCACTCACTGCAACCTCCACTCCTGGGTTCAAGCAATTTTCCTGCTCCAGCCTCCTGAGTATCTGGGATTATAGGCACCTGCTACCACGCCTGGCTAATTTCTTATTTTTAGTAGAGATGGGGTTTCACCATATTTGCCAGGCTGGTATCAAAATTCTGATCTTAGGTGATCCACCCACCTTGGCCTCGCAAAGTGCTGGGATTATAGGTGTGAGCCACTGAACCCTATAGAGAAAATTAAGTTCAGTAGAGAAAATTAAGGGTTTGGCCAAACAGCCCTTTCTAAAAAGATTAATATGGGTAGAAGGAAGCCAGGTTTTATTCGTCAAGACAATGGGAAAAATAACCCCAAAGGCATTTCAGACATCTCTTAGGAAAGCTAGGACCTTGAGGCAAGGTTTTCAGAGAGGTGCAGATGAGGACTCGCTCCTCAAATTACAGGCTCAGCTGCCCTAGCTATGGCTCAAGTGAGCCTACCTGCCCACGGGCTTGACCTGTCCTCCAGAAAGTACAAGCTGTAGATCAGTTTTATACACACACACACACACACACACACACACACACACACACAATCAAATTGTACCCTATAAATATGTACAATTACATATATGTACAAATTGTACCCTATAAATATGTACGATTGCACCCTATATGTACTAGATATGTACTGAAACATCAAATTGCATCCTATAAATATGTACAGTTATAATGTACAATTTGTCCCATTTCTGTTTAGATACAATGTGTCAATTGAAAAGATAATTAAAAAGAAAGTACAAGCCTGAACCTAGGCAGCATCCATGTGATTCCAATTTATACGTGCACAGAACACAAGTGCTGTGCTGCCTTGGCTCCACCTAGATCTCAAAGGATGTAGACATTCTGGGGACCCAGGAAGAGATTTGTCACAGGGGCAGAGCCATTGCAGAGTTCTCACTAGGGAAATGCCTAGTGGAGTCATGAGAGTGGGGCAGTTCTTCAGGCCACAAACTGTGAGGCCGCCAGTGTGCAACTCCAGCCTGGGAAAGCTGCAGGCATGATTCCAGCCCATGAGAGATGCTGGGTAGACTCAGCCCAGTTGCCTGAGGCATTGGGGGCTCAATTCCCACCCCAGTTGTGCCCAGGATGTGGGACATGCAATCAAAGAGGATTATTCTGGTATCTTCTTTTTTTGAGATGGTCTTGCTCTGTTGCCAGGCTGCAGTGCAGTGGCGTGATCTTGGCTTACTGCAACCTCCTCCTCCTGGGTTCAAGTGATTCTCCTGCCTCGGCCTAACAAAATACCTGAGACTATAGCTGTGCACCACCACGCCCAGCTAATTTTCGTATTCTTAGTACTGAGATGGTGTTTCACCATATTGGCCAGGATAGTCTCTATCATTTGACCTCATGATCTGCCCACAGCCTCTCAAAGTGTTGGGATTACAGGCGTAAGCCACTCTGCCTGCCTATCTTAAAATTTAATATTGTTTCCCCTCTTGGGTTTTGGAACCACTTGGGACCAGTTATCTTTCTTATTCCCCATTTCTTCCTTTTGGAATGGGAATGTCTATTAGATACCTGTCCTGCAATTGTATCCTGGAAGCAGATAAAACAGGCTCACAGCTGGAGGGAAATTTACTTCAGGATGAATCGTGCCCGGATCCTCACTCATATCTGATTTAGATGAGTCTGTAATTTGGGCTTTTGAGTTGATACTGAAACAAGTTGAAACTTTTGGGCTACTGGGATAGAATGAATGTATTTTGCATGGGAGGACATGAATTTTGGGGCCAGGGACAGAATGCTGATTTGAATGTGTCCCCTGAAGTTCATGTGTTGGAAACTTAATCCCCAATGCAACAGTGTTGAAAAGTGAGACTTTTCACTCACTATCATGAGAGCAGCATGAGGGAAACCACGTCCATGATCCAATCACTGCCTGCTGGGTCCCCCCATGACACCTGGGGTTATGGGGCTTACAATTCAAGATGAGATTTGGGAGAGGGCACTAAAAAAAGCCCACTAAAAAAAAAAAAAAAAAAGAAAAAAGAAAAGTGAGACTTTTAAGAGAAGATTAGGTCATAAGAGCTCCGACCTCATAAATGAATTCATGTCATTATGGCAGGTGTACATTCATTATCATGACAGTAGGTTTGTTACAAAAGTGAGTTTGGCCCCCCTCACACTCTCACCACATGATGCCTTCTCCCAGGTAATGACACAGCAAGAAGGTTCTCACCAGGTGCAGACCCCTTGACCTTGTAGTTCCTGGCCTCCATCACTGTTAAGAAATAAATCTCTGTTCTTTTATAAAGCACCTAGTGTTGATAGCCCATTATAGCAGCACAAAGTGTACTACCTGCATTTGTGTTAAATATGCATATACTGTTACCCCACTGATACAGCATCATTTGTTCTCTATGTCACTGCCAAACCCCATGATAGTTACCTTAAGTGTGAAAAACATGTGCTCCTCCTCATAGGAGTAGGTTCCAACTGTTGCTTCTGAGAGTCAGGAATCCATTTTGGAAAAAAAACAGAGAGACAAAAACTGATAATGCTTTGTGTTTATTGGTGATGCCCATCTTCTTTGAAGATTAGAAATGACACTGATGTACAAATGACTCACCACCTAACTCTACCCTCGAAGGGCTGTAATAAATCCCTTATATTTTCCAGTCTACTTGTCCCATTTCTGTTTAGACATAATTTGAAATCTGGCTTGGATGTTGTACTTTTCAATAATGTTAATGTAAAATACTGGTAATGAATGCAATGTGAGTTTAAAGTGAGATTTTCAGATCCTATAAGTGCATCCTAAGTGATGACAGGCTTTAAGATAAGGAATATATGCATTTAGTTAAGGCAGAAATCTCATAAAATTTCCTTGAAAAATCATGGTCAATCCAATGATGCACTTTTTATGACGAGTTTATCTAGAAATTGGAAGGGTTAAAAGACAACAAAAAACACACACGAAACACCTCACTTTTAAGTAAATCTGTAACTTGAAAAAAAAGCCTAAGAATATTCTGAGAGTGGTACATAGTTTTATAGTGGCCCACAGTAACTTTCAGTGACTGGAAAATTTCTTTGCATTAGCTCGCATGTGTGGTGAACGGCATTCCCATGAAAAGCTCTTGAACCCTTCTGCCTTCTTCCCACAGGCCTTAGTCTTGTTTCCAAAGGTGATTGTAGTGAGGATGTAAGGTCCATGACCTCTAGGGATAATGCCATCCACTCAGGAAGAAAGACGCTGAGAAATTCTAGGGATATCCTAAGTGCACATGATGAGTTGAGAATCAATTGTGGAGGTTTTAAGAAAATATTTGAATTTTTGCCCCTAATCAAGAAGTATTTTGGGCCGGGCACAGTGGCTCACGCCTGTAATCCAAGCACTTTGGAGGCCAAGGAGGGTGGATCACCTGAGGTCGGGAGTTCAAGACCAGCCTGACCAACATGGTGAAACCCCATCTTTTTATTTAAAAAAAAAAAAGAAGTATTTTGCCATCTGGTTTCCATTCAAGAACTAGTTGGCTCATCATTTGCAGAAATAAACTTTCTTCTAGATTAGGAAACTTCATCATGAGATCTGAGATATACTGGTTTGGAGAGTTTCCTCAGTTTCTCTTGGCTTCGAAGTCCCCGGCCTCGGAGCGGGTTGAGGCCCATTGGAGGCAGATGAATCTGAATAATAACAATAATATGAAGAATCATACTCATAATCATTGCAGCAGCTCCTATTCACTGAGGATCTACTCAGAAAGTACTATACCCTCTGCTAAGTGCTCTATCTACATTGATTCATTAATCTTTACACGTTAATTCGTAATAACCTCATAAGGGATTATTATTCTAATACTTACAGATAAGGAAATGAAACCTCAGAGAAGTTAAATAACTTGCTTAAGGTTGTATATTAAGAGGGGAAGCCAGAATTTGAACCCAGATTGATCAGATTCCGGAGCTTGTGCTCTTTGCTATACTGCCCACATAGAGGAGAAAAAAATGAGCATGGATCACCTAACAAGTTGAGAATCCAAAGACGGGCAGAAAAGTCTGTTATACAGAGATGTTCCGTGCACAGTGAAAAACTGGGATCAAACTAAATGCCTACCAATAGAGGGGCTGGTTAAATTATGGCTGGGATGGTTAGTTTTTCTTTTTTTTTTTAAGACACAGTTTCACTCTGTCACCCAGGCTGGAGTGCAGTGGCGTGACCTCAGAATCACAGGTTTAAGTCACTCTTGTGCCTTAGCCGTCCAAGTAGCTGGGATTACAGGTGCCCATCACCATACCTGGCTAATTTTTGTATTTTGCATTTTTTTTTTTTTTTGAGATAGAGTTTTGCTGTTGTTACCCAGGCTGGAGTGCAGTGGCACGATCTCAGCTCACTGCAACCTCCACCTCTCGGGTTCAAGCCATTCTCCTGCCTCAGCCTCCCGAGTAGCTGGGATTACAGGCATGCGCCACCATGCCTGGCTAACTTTGTATTTTTGGTAGAGACAGGGTTTCTCCATGTTGGTCAGGCAGGTTTCAAACTCACGACCTCAGGTGATCTGCCCATCTTGGCCTCCCAAAGTGCTGGGATTACAGGTGTGAGCCACCATGCCCGGCCAAATTTTGTATTTTTAATAGATAAAGGGTTTTGCCATGTTGTCCAGGCTGGCCTTCAAATCTTGACCTCAAGTAATCCACCCACCTCAGCTTCCCATAGTGCTGGGATTACAGGCATGAGCCACTGTGCCTGGCCTAGGATGCTTAATCTTATGTGTCAATTTGATTGGTGATGGGTTGCCCAGATTAAATGTCATTTCTGGATGTGTCTGTGAGGGTGTTTATGGAGGAGATGAGCATTTAATCAGTGGACTCAGTAGAGCAGATGGCCCTCTCCAATGTGAATGGGCATCATCCAATCCATGGAGGGCCTGAATAGAACAAAGAGGCAGAAGAAGGGGAAGAGGCTCCTGGCCTGTAGACTCAAACTGAGTAACACCATCAGCTTTCTTCTGGGTCTCCAGCTTGCAGATGGCAAATCCTAGGACTTCTCAGCCTCTATAATCACATGCACCAATTCATTATAATAAATCTCCTTTCAGGCATATGTAGATATAGCTCTGTCTAGATATGTAAAGAACCAATTCCTCATAATCTCTTCACATATATATCTAGATATCTCTATATCTACATATCTCCATTCTAGGGGTTGTTTCTTCGAAGAACCTGAACTAACACAATGGTACGTTCTTACAACAGCATAAAAATCCAGTCATTTAAAAAAGATTGGGCTGGGTATGGTAGATCACACCAGTAATCCCAGCACTTTGGGAGGCCAAGGCAGGCGAATCACTTGAGGCCAGGAGTTTGAGACGAGCCTGGCCTACACAGTGAAACCCTGTCACTACTAAAAATACAAAAATTAACTGGATGTGGTGGTGCACTTGTAATCTGTAATCCCAGCTACTCAGGAGGCTGAGGCAGGTGAATCCCTTGAATCCAGGAAGTGGAGGTTGCAGTGAGCCAAGATTGTGCCACTGCACTCTAGACTGGGTGAAAGAGTGAAACTGTCTCAAAAAGAAAAAGAAAAAAGAAAAAAGATTGAGAGAGAGCTACATACAAAGATGTGTAGAAGAGATGATGTAAAATAAGTAGACAGTTAAACATTATATCCAGAATCCTACATATGTAAGAAAACATGTAGGTACATGAGTATAGAAAAAAAGACTAAAAGGGAGTACTACCAAACTAATTAGGTTGAGCCATTACAATATAAAATTGCCGTTTTTGTAGGTAAAAGGGTTGAACATTGGCAATTTTCCATTTAACAGTTAAAATGGTCACCTTCTATACAATGAGAATTTTTTAAGAATTTTGGGCTGGGTGCAGTAGATCACGCCTCTAATCCTAGCACTTTTGGAGGTCAGGGTGGGCAGATTGCCTAATCTCAGGAGTTGAAGACTAGCCTGAGCAACACATGGTAAAACCCCATCTCTATTAAAATACAAAAAATTAGCTGGGTACAGTGGCACACGACTGTAGACCCACCTATTTGGGAGGTTGAGGCATGAGAATCACTTGAACCTGGAAGGCGGAGGTTGCAGTAAGTGGAGATCGTGCTCCACTCCAGCCTGGGTGACAGAGTAAGACTCTGTCTCCAAACAACCAAACAAAACAGAATTTTGGCCAGGCATGGTGGCTCATGCGTGTAATCTCAGAGCTTTGGGAGGCTGAGGTGGAAGAACTGCTTGAGCGCAGGAGTTCAATACCAGCCTGGGCAACACAGTGAGATCCCATCTCTACAAAAAATGAAAACATTAACTGGGTGTGGTGGCACATGCTTGTAGTCCCAGCTACTTGGGGAACTGAGGTGGGAGAATTGCTTTGGCCTGGGAATTCAAGGCTACAGTGAGCCATGACTGCACCATGGCACCCAGCCTGGGTGATAGAGTGAGACATTCAGTCTCCGTAAATAAATAAATTAAATTTTAAATTTTAAAATTTATTTTTTTGCTTTAAATTTATGGTATGAAAGAATTTGAGAAAGGAAAACATATATATTTATTATTCTAAATTCATATAAATTTGAAAATTAGTTTCTTGACAGACATTCTGAATGCGTTAAATTTATGTAAATTAATTTTATTTTAAATGTATATAAATTTGTTTTTATGTTTTATTTATTTATTTATTTTTTGAGACAGGGTCTTGCTCTGTCACCCAGGCTGGAGTACAGTGGTGCAATCATGGGTCACTGCAGCCTCAACCCCCTGGGCTGAAGCAATTCTCCCACCTCAGTCCCTCAAGTAGCTGGGACTACAGGAGTGTGTCCCTATGCCCAGCTAATTTGTAAATTTTGTGTAGCAATGGGGTCTCACTGTGTTGCCTAGGCTGGTCTCAAACTCCTGGGCTCAAGTGATCCTCCTGCCTTGGCCTCCCAAAGTGCTAGGATTATAAGCATATGCTACAGTGCCTAGCCTAGGTGAGAATTTTTGACCATTTTTACTTTCTATTTTATGCATTCCTTTCATGTTTGAACTTTATTCATTGTTTTTTTAAGTAATAAGTTTAAGCAATGAACTTTATTCTTTTAGTAACAACAAACCTGCCTTTTATAATTAAAAATCACATTTCCATAAAAAAGATGAAAATGAAATGAGAAAAGCTCTATAGTGTGAGCTGGTTTCCCTTCCATATGTGGAAGGCTGTGTAAGTAGGAGACGTCATGCATTCATTGACATTTTACTTTGTTGTGATGGCTGGCAGCATGTGAGGATAGCTTATTTCCAACATGCTTCCCACAGCAGCTGCGGGCTTCTCAGCAAGCACTTGCCCTCTTGTTACACATTCTTGGAAATAACCGTGTTGATGAGGGTAAGTCCCCACCACCTGTTAATCAGTCACACTTACTGGCCTTGGATAAGGAATCTTATAATGCAGTCCAATTTCAATCCTGGCTGTGCATTCATCTATACACTGTTTAATTAGGTCTGTGTCCGTAAGCTATTTAAAAGGGAAAAAGAAATGAGGCTGTTAGTATATTTCTAATGGTACATAGAGTATAGGTATACATTTTCTCAAACTTTTTCAGTTCACTAGCCAGTAAATTAAATGTTGTTAATTTGGAAAATCCAAAGTAATTTAATATTAAAGCTTACCATAAACTTTTTGAATCGTTAAAGTAGGTAATATGTATACATGGTAAAGATAACTCAAATAATAAAAAGGATATAACATAAAAGCTAAGCTTCCCTCTTACTCTTCTCTTCCAGTTCCTCATCTCAAGATAACAATCAGCAGTTTCTCATGTGTTCTTGTAGGGGTACTCTATGTATATATGAAAGCGCACATGTATATAGAAGCTTATTATTTTTCTCATGCAAACAATAGCTCCCTTTGTTCTGAACCTTTTCTTTTTCATTAACATAACTTGAAGTTCCCTCTATTTCCATCTACAGAGCTGCCCCTTTCTTTTCAACTGCTACACAAAATTCCAACAGAAGGCTTTATTATAATTTAACCAATCTCCCACCCATGGATACTGATTTCCAACTTTTTGCTATTATAAGTGATTCTGCTATGGATCCCTCTTAAATTATTTTGCTCCCATGCATATGTATTTAAAAGATGAATTCCTAGAGAGAACTACTAGGAAAAAGGGCATAGGTTCATGCATTTTTAAGTCTCATAGATATTCCCAAATTACTCTCTAGAGTTTGCACCAATTTGCATTCCTACCAACAATCTATAAATTCTATTCCCACCAACACTGAGTGCTTCTTCACACCCTCTTTATGTTGATTAAACTTTAAAGTTACCCAATGGTTTCTGCAAGTGCTGTCCTGAAACCCCTGGAGTAAGACACTGGAGAATGATCTACCCCTCTTAAACTGTCAACTGCTGTGCTCATTAGTAAGGGGAACAAAGGGCTTTTGAAATTCCAAAATAGTCAAATCACGGTATAATCTACCTTCAATTAAAGGAATAAGAAATTCATTCTGAGAAACAGCCAAGTAGGAAAAGGGGAGAAACTCTTTCATTCTGAGGAAGGAAATGAATCAAGATGTGGCTGTGCTGGGAGTTTGCAAGTGAACCTCAGAGGAGAGCTAGGATTGCAACAGCACCAGATAACACCCACAGCAAAGTCTGGGTCCATGTGGCTTGGAAATTTCAAGGGCATTCCTGTCCTATGGCACCTCTTGGAGCCAAGAAGAAGAGTTCCAGGAACAGCAATGCAGAGAACCACAGCTGAGTCCCTTGTGGTAGAGGCCCAACTTTCTGACCTCTATGCTTCTCAGAAGCCATTGATTTGCTGTCTGTGTTGGAAAAGATTTCCACATTCTCATTTGCCCACTGAGATTCAGAGCAGTTCACAGGATACCTTTGGATTATTAAACTCTCAGAGCAATCAAAGTTACAAGAAACTCCTTATGTCTGCATGAGGAAGAAAGAAAAAGCCTTTGACAAAGATATTAGTTAAGGGGGTTGGGGCTTCTGGGGCTTCTGGGGCTTCAGCTGTCTATCTGAACAAGCCGGGGCTAGCATACTCCAAATTCAGTCATTCATGGGCTGGCTGCATGATTCTGCCATATCCACATACTACATATACTAATGTTAAAATTTTTTATTAAATGAACTCTCTTTTAAGCAACAGTATTTGTGAAAGTGTGGTCTAATATTCTCTTTCCTTTCTAACACATGCTAAAGCAAGTACATATCTTAAAATTAAAAACCCATGTACCTCTTCTGCCTACTCCCAAATAATCTCATGAACCGTCTGTGGCACATACACTTCCCACTGGCCCACCCCTCGAGCCAATCCAAACCAAGGGAAAGGAAGGGTTATTGCAATAACTGAAAACCCAAAGTCTGAGTAGTTCCCAGATGAGTGAGCATGCAAAGGTTTATTGGGCATGTACTATGATATCCCCAACACCACAGGCTGGACAGTGCCTTCAGCTATCCAAGTTATTACCTCGGCAGAACAACTCTGGTACCTGAAGGTACAGAAAAGGCACAGTGGTATATAATCAATGGATGCAGTGACTGCTACAGACAGCTATAGGAATTCAGAACAGGTGGCCATCATGGGATTGAGGGGGAAGCAAAGAAATTGAAGATTTCCTAGAGGAGATCAGTTGAATCAAAGTATTTATAGCTGCTCATTCATTTAGTGACATCACAATGAGGTCCTTTGGCATATACTAGAAAAGTATAAGACCTTGTTTATATGTTCAAAAAACTGATAATCTGGTTGGGAAAACCATGGCAACATAAAGTAAAGAAGAAAAAGGAGAATGTAAACAGCTACTTAGGGATCTCCAAACCTTTTGATCACCTACTTTTTTTTTTTGAGACAGTCTTGCTTTGTTGCCCAGGCTGGAGTGCAGTGGCGCGATCTTGGCTCACTGTAGCATCTGGCCCCTGGGTTCAAGTAATTCTCGTGCCTCAGCCTCCTGAGTAGCTGGAACTACAGGCATGCACCACCATGCCCTTTAGCAGAAATGGGATTTCACCATGTTGGCTAGGCTGGTCTTGAATTCCTGACCTCAAGTGATCCACCTACCTTGTTTTCCCAAAGTGCAGGGATTACAAGCGTGAGCCACTATGCCTGGCTGATCACCTACTCTTTTTTTGCTTTGAGATGAGGTCTCATTCTGTCACCCAGGCTGGAGTGTAGTGGCATGATCTCAGCTCACTGCAACCTCTGCCTCCTGGGTTCAAGCAATTCTCCTGCCTCAGTCTCCCAAGTAGCTGAAACTATAGGCATGTGCCACTGCCCCTGGCTAATTTTTGTATTTTTAGTAGAGATGAGGTTTCACCATTGTTGGCCAGGCTGGTCTTGAACCCCTGACCTCGAGTGATCCACCCACCTTGGTCTCCCAAAGCGCTGGGATTACAGACATGAGCCAGTGTGCTCGGCCCACCTACTGTTTTCATTAATAAATTTCTGAGCGCACAGCCCCCATATATGTATTTATATTAATTTATAAATTTAGTAGTTTATAAATTATATATATGTACAAACAAGTACATTGTAACTATGTACCAGATAGACTTTTTACAAAGACGAAATGAAAGAATAAATAGAAATAGCAATTGTATTTTATTCCCATTTTAAGGAATTCATGGGGTACATATACTCTGGTTTGGCAAGCATGGTCTATGCTAAGAGCAGAAAAAGTATGGGGAAGCTAGGTTTGGAGGAAGGTCAGAAGGAAAAGAGAAACTTCCTAAGTCAACCTTGAAAGGCTAGAGGCATCACAGATTCAGAGAAGGGGAAGTTGCTGCCGATTAGAAGGGTTTCTTTGGTAGCCCTTTTTATTTTTTTGAGATGGAGTCTCACTCTGTTGCCCAGGCTGGAGTGGAGTGGTTTTATCTCAGTTCACTGCAACGTCTGCCTTCCGGGTTCAAGCGATTCTGCCTCAGCCTCCTAGGAGCTGGGACTACAGGTGCATGTCACCATGCCTAACTAATTTTTATATTTTTAGTAGAGACAGTTTTACCACGTTGGTCAGGTTGGTCTTGAATTCCTGACCTTGGGCTTCGCAAAGTGCTGGGATTTCAGGTGTGAGCCACCGTGCCTTAAGAGACAGAGACTCGCTATGTTGCCTGGGTTGGTCTCGAACTCCTGGGCTCAACCGGTCCTCCAGCCTTGGCCTCCCAAAGTGGTAGGATTACAGGTGTGAGCCAACATGCTCAGCCTTTGTAGCACTTTTCTCAACTGTAATTTTATATTTCTTTCCATTTAACTCAAATGCCTTTGACAGCTCTGCCTTGGTTTGGCTTATGTTTGTCCTCAACATCTAGTCTTGTGTTTGGCACACAGTGGGCAATCAAATATTTGTTGAGTGAGGAATGAGAACAAAGAGTGGCAGAGTAGTGACAGGAGCTGTGACACCAATGGGCCAGTGGGGAAGGGGAAGCACTCCTGTAGAAAGATGACTCTGCTTTGGACCGTTATGCTGTGATGAGGTCCTTCAGGTGGCCAGGCATAGACCAAGGCTGAGGATTCAGATGTGACAACTTAAATCACAAGGTGGGTGCATGTTGCACAGGCCTCAGCACAGAGGGTCGACCTTGAGAGGAGCCCTGCAGCTGGCAGGAGGGCATGTGGTGACAGGGCTGAAGACAGACAGTCAGAGGTCAGGGAGGGAAAAGTGGTGAGGGTAGACTGTTAGGAGGTTTCATGAGGGGAGCAGTGACAGTGCTGAATCCATTAGCTCAGTGAGGAGGTGGAAGAGAAGTCAGTCATGAAAGCCTCTTTCCATGCCAGGCGGTCTTTTAGTGCCAGGCGGGCTTCCCTGAACCTAACAGCTAATGCTTTAGCGCTCGTGGGGGTGGGTCCAGTCTGGCTCCCTGCTGTCTGGGTGTGCATTTCCCTTAAACCAGCTAATGGAGACACTATTTTACCCAATTCTGTGGTCCCGAAGGGCAACCTCACTCTGCTAACCAAAGAGGCTTGAGTTCAAAGCTGTTATGAAGGGAACCCTGCGTCTTAATCCTATTCTCTTCCTTCTAAATGGCTTTATATTTAGAGGCTTTGAATAGTTTATGAATTGAAAAAAAAAAACAAAAAAACAAAAAACCACTTCCCCACACACCAGCTATGGGAGTGGCCAGCAATGGGTACAGTATCAGGACTGGCTCCTCCTCTGAAAAGTCTCATTGGCCTGACACGTCACGTGGCTCATAGGGTCTTCTGAGCACATTGAGCCACTTACCAGATGGTTTGAGACCTGGAAGAAGTGAAGAGAGAAACACAGGCTTCGCAGTGGTCAGGTGAGCTAGCCAAGCTGTGCACTGGCCCCTTCCTGCCCTATGTTCTGCCACGACTATGTGGCTCAGCCCTCTCAATTAAGGATCGAAAAGAAATAAACAAATATCATAAGGAACTCCTCTCCTCTGTGCAATCTCCCAGTGGGGTCTACTTACATTTCTGTTTTTCCGGAACAGCGTTCTGGCTTCATTTAGTATGTACTGTTTTTCTTTGATGGTGTCTTCCATCTGCCCTGATGTCGCCTGCCATTTCCTTGCAAGCCTGAAAATGCTGCGGTAGAGGCCGAGGACTTCTTGTCGTGTTGCTGTTGTCATCTTCAGACCCACCAAAATAGAAGAGGGAAAATCTGCATAAAAATGCAGTTTGACAGGAGGCAGCCAGGCAGATGTACAGTTTTTTAATCAAGACCTTTAATTAGTCTAGAAATAATCGGTCTTTCTCAACAGATCTGTTGGGTAGTACTGCTGCAACCATGTAACAGAAACACAGTTATCTCTCAACTGGCTTGGTAATTCATCCACAGATTGAAGGTTGCTCAACCACACTGTTTGCCATGGCAAAACCAAAACTCATACTTATTATTCTTTAAACCAGTCCAGTAAAATTATATTACTCACCCGAATGCGTAGGAGAAGGCATATTTTGGATAATGGAATTTAATCCACTGGTTACAAATTCAAGTGCCTCTGCAGCCTGGCAGGTAATATAAATGAAAGGACCTGCTTGGATGGGGGCAGTGGCCACCTGGACCAGACATGCCCCCTTGAAAAGGAACAGTTGCTATTCAGCTCCAGCCAGCAGCTGCCATGTAGAAAGAAGTACCTAGGAATGCCAGGTTTCCTGATAGCTTAAAAATAGGTGACAGTCCAGAGTTTTAAAATATGACATCTCAAAAAAACACACTAAGTCATTATTTTTGAAAATGTGGGGCTGGGTGTGGTGGCCCACGCCTCTAATCCTAGCACTTTGGGAGGCTGAGGCAGGAGAATTACATGACCTCAGGAGTTCGAGACCAGCCCGGGCAACATGGTGAAACCCTGTCTCTACTGAAATACAAAAAAAAGTTAGCCAGGTGTGGCAGGATGTGCCTATAGTCCCAGCTACTTGGGAGGCTGAGGTAGGAGATTGCTTGAACTCTGGAGGCAGAGGTTGCAGTGAGGCAAGATCGTGCCACTGTACTCCAGCCTGGGTGACAGAGTGAGACTTCATCTCCAAAAAGAAAAAAACAAAATAAAGGGTGAGGACTGTAAAGGCCAAACAAAATGGGTGTGTAGGCTCAGTTCCACCCAGAGGTTGTCAGGTTACAACCTCTCTTTTAGTTTGTCATAACCTTTTTGGAAACATTTTTCAAAATTGTTGATCTATTTTTTTGTCCAGTAAGTATAATTAAAAATCTTTCTGGGCTAGGGGTGTTGGCTCACACCTGTAATCCTAGCACTTTGGGAAGCCGAGTTGGGCGGATCACCTGAGGTCAGGAGTTTGAGACCAGCCTGGTCAACATGGTAAAACCCCATCTCTACTAAAAATACAAAGGTTAGCTGAGCATGGTGGCAGGTACCTGTAATCCCAGCTACTTGGGAGGCTGAGGCAGGAGAATCGTTTGAACCTGGGAGGTAGAGGTTACAGTGAGCTGAGATCACACCACTGCACTCCAGCCTAGACGACAGTGACACTGTCTCAAAAAAAAAAAAAAAAAAAAAGCAAAGATATTGGGACCAATATAATAGACATATTGTTTCAACAGACTTTGAAGAATAAATTATGTATACAGTAGAAACCCAACTGTGCCCCTTCCAAATCATATTCCCCTTCCTCTCTCCTAGAAGGAATTACTATCCTGAATTTGTTATCGTGCATATCTTTACACGTAACATTTATAGTATTGCCTTGCAAGTTTCTTTTACTTACTTAGTTTATTATTATTATTATTTAAGACCGAGTTTCACTCTTCTTGCCCAGGCTGGAATGCCATAGCACAATCTTGGCTCACTGCAACCTCCGCCTCCTGGGTTCAAACAATTCTCCTGACTCAGCCTCCCATGTAGCTGGGATTACAGGCGCATACCACCACGCCCAGCTAATTCTCTATTTTTAGTAGAGACGGGGTTTCACCATGTTGGTCAGGCTGATCTCAAACTCCTCACCTCAGTTGATCCACCCACCTCAGCCTCCCAGAGTGCTGGGATTAAAGGTGTAAGCTACCACACTCCGCCTGCTTTGCAAGTTTAAAAAGTTTATAGGTAAGTTCTATAATTTGCTTTATTTGCCCATAACATTCATAGGATTCATCTACATTGTTACACATGGCTCTAGTTCATATATTCTCACTGCTGCAATTCAGCCTGCTGTATGAAGATATCCCAATGTACTGTCTATTTTGCTGATGGATATTAGGTATTTCCTTTTTAAAAAAAATTATTTAAGGCCGCATGCAGTGGCTCATGTCTGTAATCCCAGCACTTTGGGACGCTGGGGCAGGCAGATCACTTAAACTCAGGAGTTTGACACAAACCTGGGTAACATATTTTTTAGAAAACATTCATTTGGTAAAAAATTACCCAGGCATGATGGCACATGCCTGTAGTCCCAGCTACTCGGGAGGCTGAGGCTGCAGCAAACTGAGATTGTACTACAGGCCAAGATTGAGCCCCTGCACTACAGCCTGGGTGACAGAATGAGACCCCCATCTCAAAAACAAACAAATAAAAAACCAACAACTTATGTAAAAACTTCAGGCTGGCCCCAGTGGCTTATTCCTAAAATCCCAGTACTTAGGGAGGCTGAGATGGAAGGCTCGCTGGAGGCCAAGAGTTTTGAGACCAGCCTGGGCTATATAAAGATACCCTATCTCTATAAAAATGGAAAAAAACAAAAATCTCAGCCCCCACTTTTTAAAAATAACTATTTACATTAATAACGAAATAACCAAAATAAATTCAGGGAAGTGAGGAAAAAAAAAAGTCTCACTACTGGAAGATTCTGATTAGTCAGAGTTAGAATAATGAATATTGTACTGCCTGGAACCAGAAGACAGGCTTGGAAGACAAGGAGGGCAGATTTGGTGAGTAAGTCACAAGGGCAGGCAGTTGGTCACCTCATTCTGAGTTCTGGGTTTTCCTCTAACAGGACATCAGGATCAGGAAGTAGGCTGCTCACTGCCTGCTGCTTCGGAACATGATCCATTTCCAACTTACAGAGGGAAAGGCATAAGGCGTGGAGATAATATGCTTTAGGGTAGCCCTGAAATTATGAGACTTTGATCAGCTAAAGAATGCAGATTGGCTGGGCGCAGTGGCTCAAGCCAGTAATCCTAGCACTTTGGGAGGCCAAGGTGGGTGAATCATGATGTCAGGAATTCAAGATCAGCCTGGCCAATATGGTGAAACCTTGTCTCTACTAAAAATACAAAAATTAGCCGGCTGTGGTGGTGGGCCCCTGTAATCCCAGCTACTCGGGAGGCCGAGGCAGGAGAATCGCTTGAACCTGGGAGGCGGAGGCTGCAGTGAGACGAGATCACTACTGCACCACACTGCACTCCAGCCTGGGAAACAGAGCAAGACTCTGTCTCAAAAAAAAAAAAAAAAGAATGCAGATTGGAGCTGCAAGTGGGTATGTTTACCTCGAAATTCTAAGTACTTGCAAGGAATTCACCTTATAGAGAGCTTCTCTTTCCAATATGAGCACTTACCCTGACCCTGATGACCTTTCTTGAGGTTTATTCTTGAGTAAAGAATGAGCCAACTGATGAAAAGCTTCAAACACTACTTCATCTAATTCAAAGGTTAAAATGACCAAAGTTATAGCCAACACCAATTCTGAGCCTATGAGGCTGCAAGGAAAAATGCTTGCAAGGAAAAATGCTTACAAGGAATTCATAAAAACCAAGAGAGAACATCATGCTTTGTGGCTTATTGTAATAAAAACCCAGATGAGATGATGACATTTTTCCCAGTAAGGAAACAGGTTTCTGAGTTTCTGGCTCTCCCTAAAACTCCATGGTTTCATATGAAAATACGTGAGTCAGTTCCTGTGAGGCACAGGGAGTCTTTAACTAACATCTCTTAGTGATTGCTTCACTTCCCTGTCATTAACAGACCGAACTTCCTTGACAGCATGATGCTTGAGTAAAGTGAAGAAGGTCAGGAATATTCAAACAGCAGCAAACTTTTTATAGGTGTTTGTTTGTTTGTTTTTTTGAGGCAGGGTCTCGCTCTGTCACCCAGGCTGGAGTACAGTGGCATGATCATGGGTCCCTGCAGCTTCGACCTCCCAGGCTTGAGCGAGCTTCCCGCCTCAGCCTCCAGAGTAGCTGGGACCTCAGGCATGCGCCACCTCAGGTGTACACCACAAAGCAACCTTCTCTAAAGTCTGATGTTAGTTGGTTTCCTTCCACGACTCTAAGAACCACAGCTTCAAATTCTAACTGATTTACCATAATCTGATACACAAGCCCTGCAATTAGGTTAATGCCCTCAAGGTAACGAACAGTACTAACAATTGGTACTTAATACCACTATTTTCAAAACACTTGACGTTGAAGTGTTTTGAAAACTAATCCTGAAAGGGATTTAGGTGGTATCTCGCTCTGCAACATCAGGTGACCCAGAAAACCCGAGTTCCAAAGATTTCCTGAGAGAAGGGTCTGTAACTTAGCCTACCATTTCCTTCCAAGTCTTGAGAGAAAAGCAAGAAAATAAAAATGTTTCTTTTGTTCTTTTCTTACTGGATTGGATTTGTCTCAGGGAACCATGAGACGGGAATCTTTGATGGGAACCATGTTCTTTCTTGTCTTAGGGGCACATATCAATGCTGTTTTCTCTTTCTAGAAAGCTTTCCCCTTACCCCCTCCCTTTTACCTGACAAACACTATTTATCCTTCAGTTCCCAGTGAAAATATGGGTGTCTCAGAAGATTCTCCCCTGCTTCACCCACATTCATGGTTGGGGCTCTCCGCTGAACCTTCTCATAGCTCCTAATATTCTTCTTTGTATAGCACTCCCCACTTAAGTAATGGCTTGTTAATGTCTCCCCCCAGTAGACTCTAACCTTTATGGGCACAGTGATCACATTCATCTTATTTACTGCTGGATGCTCAGCACCTAGAAAGGTGCATAATCAGTATTCAACAAATGTTTGTTGAATAATTGAGAGTATCCTGTGCTATAGAAAGTTTGTGATTCCAGAAACAGAATCAGCCATATATTTTTTAAAAAAGTTTAAAAAGCTCTTTTCCTTTATATTTTTGTCTTTGTTCCTAGAAAGCAACTCATTTAGAAAAACTACCTATTCCCGAATATGGCTTTAATGGCATGAA